GGTAAAGACTGCCAGTCACAGTGTAAGCTGCTCATGTCTTTCCTCTTCATCCTTTGCATGGAGGACAGATCCTTCCTTTGCTCTTCACAACAGCCTTTTGCAGATTGTTATCACATCCTTCTTCAGCCTTTCCTCTGAGCTGAACTCTTCCCATCCTCCCTCGTAGGCTGTGCTTTCTGGACCACTCTTCATTGCTCCTTGCTGGATTTTTGCTTGTTGGTCCTCATCTGACCTGTCCTGTAGCACTCGCAGCTGGAGACACCATTCCCACCAAGACCTTAGCCTGGGCTGAGCGCTCCTGTTGTAATTTAGCCTGGAAAGCACCTGGGCCAGTGCTGGGGATGCTCAGTTCTGCTGCAGGGTGGCTGGTTGATAACAGGGTTAATACTGAAGGGACTGGGGTGCCAACAGGACAGCACATTAAAAAAAAATTTGAAGCTCTGTCAAAAGGCAGACTAGTTTTGAGAACCCCAATCTAGACTTGTTCGACCTAGCCAGGATTAATATTAGCTATGATTAACAATCCAGCATGACCCTTTCACACGATTTTACCATCTATTTTCTACTTCTGCTGTATGTGCTGACATAATGTACCAAGGACTCACCTGTGAAAGTACACTGTGATACCAAACCCTACCACAATATATTAATCTAATCTCACTTCTGCCTGTTCACTGAATAAGGAGACAAACAAATCAGGGCGAGGTGGGCAGTTGTTCGTAGAAAAAACTGAACACCCTGTATTGTATCACAACACACGGCTAACTATTTGCCACCTGTAGCAGCGAACACTTCCCATTCCCAGAGAAGAGAAAGTAAGATGATGACATGAAAAATAGAAAGTGAGTTTGGGAAGGTTTTATTCTGTTGCTAAGAAGCCTTTATTCAAGCATCAGCTAAGTGGGTAGATGTCAAAGATAGGAGCCTGTTGAGAGGCAGCAAACGACTGTGGTCCTGCTGCCTATTTTGCCTGTCCTGCAGCTCTGGGAAGGCTGCCAGGGCCTCCCATCATCGGGAATTTGGTGTTCGCAGTCACCTATCCTTGGCACCGTTGACCACCACACATCAGGGCCCTGCAGGCTCTTACCCGCTGCCGCCGGGCTGAGGCAGCACGCAGCCGTCCTGCGGGGCTGGACAGAGCTGGTGTCCTGCATGCTGCTGCTGAACCTTGGGACAAATCTGTGCAGGGTCCATGGTGTCCATCAACCCAAGCCCTACTGGTCCTGTGGGGCTGCCCTGATTCGCAGCAGTTTGAAGGTCTGGATCTTACTTTTGGGGGAAAATATTTATTCAGTGCCTGAAGAGCCTGGGTATATAAAAGAAAGAAGAATGCCTGGTCTCAGTAGAAGTGCTGAGATACTTAGGAGTGGTGCATTGTGACTAATGTCCCTGGAAACACTTTCTTTTTTACTCTAGGAGTAAAAGTCTTTACTATCCATTTGTCCAGCTAATGCAGATATGCCTCATTTGTTGTTGATTTTGATTTGCTTTGTTTATCAAGGAGACTAACACTGAGCAGCCAAATCTTGAAAGCATTCACATCATCAGTGTCTCGCCTTGGTTTGAACTCGGTCATGATTGCTAGAGCTGCGCAGCTCTGCAAGTTTGCAGTCCATAGCCAGGCAGTGGTCCTTGCAACAGAATTGCTCAAAGCTTAAGCTTTACTTAGGCATGAATTCTACTTTAAATAATCTCCACTGTAAACTACAATTTTTATTAAAGCATGGTTTTCCCTGCATCTAGTGCTTTATGAGCTATGAGATTTAGCCATAAGATGTAATGGAAATTACTGTGGGGGAAGCTGATGCTCCATGCAAGCTGAGGTAGCAGTATGTCATCCAAGTCAGTAGGTAAACTTTTATCTTTTTAACCAAGTTCCTTTTTTCTGGTCTAGTCATTCAGTAGTGCTTACAGTGTCCCAGTATTCATCTAGATTAACATATATTTGTGATTTTATTGTCAGGGGTAACTTCCCACTCTCTTCTCTGGTGCCATCGGAAAGTTATGAAGAATATGTAAGCAGAAGCTCTGTGGTTATAAAACAGATCATCACTGCCTGCCCCAGCAAAGGTAAAGGTTTCAGATCTTTGTATATTCTGTCACTTTCAGTAACAGGAACTGGCAGAGATTCACCAACAGAAACACATTTAACATGAGTTGTTGGTATCGCACAGAGCTTAAGGTAGACTCTTAGTCCTTGCCCTGGGCTACACTAAATTAAAATACATACAATTTATGGGATAGAAATGAAGAAGCAAAATTAAACAGAAGACAGTAGAGTGCTAAATTGCAAGAGACTCTTTGCTTGGTCTTTCTACATCGGGATGTAGCTCAGCATGATATAATTTTCTGGAAAGCCTTTTTTTCTCTTTTCCTAGCAAATGCCTTCTCTCACTAGCTGGCATGCCTACAACACACCAGACTTTTTCTGACCAGCACAATACACCCTGCCACATTATCAAAGTGGTCTGCAAAGATGAACGGCCCCAATAAAGCCTAATACCCATCTGCTGATAGGGAACCTCACAGTGCTGCAGCTCCCTCACTACTTTTCTTTGCTTCTTCTGGTGTATCAGGTGTCATCCTCATTGTGGGCCATGGCTCTTCCTTGGCATCTTTCACCCGACCTCTGATAGGGCTCCCTGCCAGAGACAGCAGCGACTTTGCCCAGGTGGTACGAAAGGTAAGAAGATATTTTTTCAGCCCGAAGCTTTCTTTTTGGTTTATTATAGTTTTAATAAGGTGCCTGCTTACACAATGAGACATGCGTGTAACTGCATGCCAATACCAATGACATCAGCTTTCTCATCACAAAGGGAATCCCATGCAGTTTTAGCAGAGCACTGGAGGCCAAGAGAAGGAGTTTCTCCTGGTGAACGGTATGTGACTAGCAGCTAAATCTTTGGAGAAGATTTTCATCTAACTCCCCTGGAAAAGTGAACGTAACACCTGCAGACAAGAGGCACATTTGAAAACCTCTCCATCTGGAGCTAGCCTCCTTCCTTTAGAGACAGCACTAGGAGCCTTCCGTCTCCTCCCCATGGTGTTGTCAGTGTAACCTGCAGCTACATTCAGAGAGTCACTCTTTAAGAAGCTGTGTGTTTTTCGAGTCACTGTAAGTTCACAACTTCGGTGCTCAGTTATAGAATGAAGTGGAGAAGGGTTTTCTTGCCAGCTTCACAAGCAGGGCCTGTGCTTCAGACTTGGTCGCCAAGGCTTTTTTTTTGTTTTTGTATTACCACCAATGCCAGAATTATTCACCCGAGTTTTCCTTACCATCTGCCTTGGTATGACCAACCAGAGAATTCAGTCTTCAGACATATTTTTACTACCACTGTTGATGCATAAGGAGTGAATATATTTCGATCATCAAATCCAAGTATGAATTGGGGTGATGAAACAAGTTCAGTTTTTACCCCACAGGCCTCCAGTTTGTTTTTAGTTCATTTCAGAAGTGGCAAAATGTCCTCGTCTCTCCTCCCAGAACAGTCTCTGGGTCTTCCCTCTTCTGTAGCAAAGCTCCCTCTTTCATGTCAAAGCAATGACCCTGCTAGTAACTCTGCTGGTAACTTCTTTCCTAGATCCCTTCTCTGGGTATGTGTTTCTGTGAAGAGCTGAAAGAGAATAACAAATGGCAGATGGTCAACCCACCAGTGAAGACATTAACTCATGGAGCAAATGCAGCTTTTAACTGGAGAAATGGTATCGTGGAAGATTAGAAGGCCGGCTCTGCCTTTGCAGTTGTCAAAAATGAGCCAAAGACAGGTCATGGTTCAGCACATTCCAGTGATTCATCCAGAAGACTTACAGAGGCTGGGAAATACCCTCCCTGAGTTGTCAAAGCACAGAAAAACACTTCCGAGATTGGTGCCTGAATTTTTCCTTTCAGTGGCTGAGAAGAAGGAGCCTAAAAACTGGTACGCAAGTGAGAAATAACTCTTCTGGTGGTGAAGAAAGTACTTTTTAACCTTTTCTGAGAGTACCAATGTTTAATAGATATGGAACTACCTGATTATAAATTCCACTGCTAAAGGCACTAAAGTAGACAATACATTTTCCAGTAAGAATTGCTTTTTTTCATGTACTTGGATATTTTCAGACAAGCAGAGAAACTGGGACTGAAAAAAAGTCATCTCCTACCTGAAGAGGAGACCAGCTCTACCTAAAGCCACTGGTTTCCTGTTCACTCCATCAGTTCTGCGAGAGCAAATATACCACACTGACTATTTATTTACCTCTTCTACAAAAGGGGTCCATTTTCCATCACAACAGCTCCCCATTCAGCAATTCCCAAGTGATTCACATTGCAAAAGGGACTAAATGATTCCTTTTTGAAGAAAACTGAACTGATTGCTTTATTGTTGCTGGGACAAGAAAGACACACTGTGTTGTTGTACTGGCGACAAAACCGTGATGTGAGCAACTCTAACTGCTGAATGTTTCCTGAGATGGCACTCAAAGGACAACAGCTTTTCTTTGTGCTGTTCTGTGCCAAATTGTATAAATGGTGACACACCTACTGGATAGGTCACCCAAAAGGTCTCGGTAGCTCTTCTCTTGGTGATTTGTTTAATTAAGGGAATGTAGCCCTAACATTTTATGCACAAACAGGAACATGCCTTTCCACAGTCTGTTTTCCTTTCTAATTTTCCTTCCTAGTTATCCTCTCAGATAACTACCTCTGGGAAAGCAGAAGTGTTTCTTTCAATGGAAGGAAAAAATGGAAGTTTCTCTTTCTCTCTTTGCATGATGAAAAATGAGTTCATTTTCACTCTTCATCTCCCTGCTCCTTCTTGACATATCTCTGCATGCATGCTGTTAACCATCAGAGCATGCAGTAGAGCCCATTCAGCATTCAGGCTTTGGGGCTGAGAGGTGTCTGACAAGCACCGTTATCTGTGGGTGTGGAGATTTAATATCTTGGTCTTGCACCTGAAATTATTCATTTTGACTTTCCAGCTCTGGTGAAGTTACTTAAGCTCTTGCTTTTTCAACAGCGCTGTAATTCTAAAGTGAAAATCAAATGTCCCAGGGCCGAGACAGGAGCAATTTAGCTAGCAAGCGATGCAAGGCAGGGCAATAGGACTGCATTGCTGGTTGCAGCTCAAGTGCATGAGATGGGTGGCTACAGGTGCAGCCCTGGAAAAAGGTAAAAAACCCAAGTGCCATCACAGCCTCTTCTTGCTCTGGGGGAGCAGGATGCCATTGCAGTTCTGAGAAGACCATGGCCTGGTTACTTCTCCACATCTTGCCCTGTCTCAAGCTTGCTGTCCACTCCGAGGGGCAGATGTGGTGAGGGATGACTTTGCAGAGCCCTGAAGGCAGTGGCAAGGCTCCTCTGTGGTCTTCAGGGAGGGCTGTGAGTCAGAGGTCTGGCTGAGGAAAGGCTGTGCAGGAAAATTAGCACACAGGAGGAGAGCAAAGCGATGAGGGAGAGAAGAACATCTCTGTCTTGCGCTCAGCCATGCGAACAGCAACCAGCAATGGTCTCCCACCACACCACCTGCTCCCTTAGGCTGGCTCAGCCCTGGCCGTGGGGGCAAGCCCGACCCTCTGTTGGTGAAAAGCAGCTCCATTGCAGCCCTGTGTCCTCACCAAAGAACCTGTCCAAGTGGGAAGGGAGGGGGAAATGGGGACAGCGGGGCAATGGGGGTGGCATGGGGCAAGGACCTGGCCCCCCTGGGCATGGCACATCTCTGGTTGCTTCCAGGAGGTTCAAGCTCAGTGCCCGCAGAGGAGTCAGCTCCCACCTCACAGTGCTCCCGTGAGGCATTCCTCTCTATGAAAGCTGTTGCTTTTGGTGTGATTTGCTCTGATTTCATCAAGCGATTTCAAGCCATAGGACAGGTGTCATATGAGAAGCTGTTGCCCCAGACTGAAACCCCCATGTGAGAGATGATCCCAGCTCTGACCAGGGCTTGGGGGTATGCAGTACCAGGGTTGTGAGTTCGTGTGTGTTTCTGGGTCAAGCTTTCGCTAGGGATACAGTCTCTGGATAGGGACCAGGCTCTGTTTTAACATGTTAGCGGCTGTACTTGTTATGGTCCATGCTACCGTTGTCCCTCATCTCGGAAAAGCTGCCTTTTGAGACAGCTTTTGCAGTCTGGGCCCCAGGTTTCAGCCTTTTGAGTTGTTCCAGCCTTGGGACTGATCCTTCCTCTCTACATGAGAAGAAATGCAGGCAAGTCTTGGGGAGTGCCTTTCATCTCCAGTGGGGCACATGTCTATGCAACCATATTGCATAAGGAGAGGTCTTGATCTCAGTGGTCCAGGCACAGAGGCTGGCTGGAGCGAAACAAAAGCCCAGATGAGGATAAGGAGGGGTGAGAGCAACAGCGGTGCTCCGGGTTCACGCAGGAAGTGAAAATGCCTGCTGCTCAAATGACACCTCATGAGACTGGGACATGATGCCACACCGCCTGCCTGGGGATGGAGCCAGAGGCAGATAAGGAGAGGCAGGTGAGACCTGTGCTACTACACACCTGCCTGCAGGGTATGGAGCTGGCTCTAACTGACAACAAAGACAGAAAGGAAACTTCCTTCAGGAACAGGAGTCTTCAAAACCACTTAAAAGACTGGTCATTTTTAAAGAATTAGTGACATAAAATTTCAAGTGCTTTCATAAGAAACTTTCCTCTATCTTTTTAGAAATAATGTAGGTTGGGTTTTTTTCCATAATGGTTTCATCCATTAATCCTAGATTGTGCTGCAAATACCAGTTTGGGTTAAGAATCTGGGTATTCTTTTAAAACACCAAAATAAAATACCAAATGACATCTATCACTCCACCCAATGTCATTGGAAGTATTGTCAGGGTGGGTCTATTGTGAAAAGTAACCCATAAGAACAGCATCCTCTCCTCTCTTTGAACAGCTTTCCTACGCTACTGCCACTCTGCACAACATAGCAACTAATACTTCTCTTTGCTTTTCACTCCTTTTGGTCTGCAGAAATAATGTTACTGAAAGCCAGTTTACAGCACTCTAATCCCATTATTATCCATCAAGTTCCTACCCAAAATGAGTGTGTGCAGGCAGCCCTAGAGGCAAGTGTCGAGAGGGAAGAAGGACAGGGCTGGGGGAACTGCCTCTCTCTCTGGTAGGACCTTTCTTACAGGTGGGGGCATGGGGAAGGATTCAACTGGTTCACCCAATCTTGGCATCTAATCAAATGACCACAGAGCATGAACAACACTGTTCAGAAACTAAATATACTTAACAGGCAGATTGCTAAGACACTTGAACCAAAATCATGCTGTGCTGTTGTTTTTTCAATACAGATACATTCCAGTTAATTTTATTTCAATGAATACAACGAATTAAGCTCCAGAGCATGTGGGAAAGAGGGATTGGGGACTTAAATATTTCTCTTGCGATGGCTTCTAATCCAGACACTGCAGTGGTAAGCAGGTGGGGACAAGTAGCAAAATACTATTTTTAACTTATAAAGACTTCTCTATTTCTACCATCCAAATCAATTGAACAGAAAGAACAGGCAGCAGAAATAGCAAGACGTTGAAAATGTATCTCAGTCTCAACGACAGGGCAAGAACAAGCTCTTCTATTTGCAAGGACCCTGCTTTTGGCTTTCCTGAGACCCCATGTGAGCACAGGTTCACCTCTAAAGAACACTTTTTAGGATCAGAGCTGAAATTATATCTTTAAGGTACAAGGGTTCATAGTTGTAAAATCTAGTTGCTTAGGAGAGAGAATTCCTAAAGCGGTGTGTCCATAATATGAAACTAATTGTTGAACACAAGTGAAATGAAGAAAATTATCTTGAAAGCTTCGAAGTTGTTTTTGTAGTAAGTAAAAGAAATAGGAAATTCTTTAGTAGTTTCTTGATTTTTTAATGCAACTTCAAAAAATGGATGTTTCTTTACTCCATTGCAATTTTCTTTAATTGGATTTATTTCATTACAAAGTTATGTACTTTAACAGATGCTTTTAGTGCTACCTAGAGAATCTGAATATTTTGTTTATATCTTAAAAACTGAAAATATACATTCTTTTGATAAAGACCTACAGTAAAGTTAATCTATGGTGACACCTTGTGGGAAAACTCAACCTCAGATTTACATGACTAAGTAAGGTCTGGTGTGATTGAGGGATGAGGAGGAGGAGCAGCATTTTTTCAAACAAGAATGCTCCTTCCATACAATTTGAAAGGATAGTAATATAGACATTTATGATAATGTTTGGGACTACTTTTAGGCAGAATTGCTTGGAAAGACACTTGAGTCTGGTTCTTCTGAAAAGCAAGATAAAAAAATGCTATGAATGTTTTGTTCCTGATTTTTCCAAAACTTTTTCCCTGTGCCAGCATTGATACTAGTGCAAGGCAAATATGCATTCTGCTGTCTCAGAACAGTAGTTATTTCTATTCACTTTGCACAATTTTAAATCATCAGGCAGGGGGTAAAGCAGTTCTGTAGATTTTTTACTGTCTCCTGAGAATTTGTTATTGAAATGCTCCAAAACACAAGGAATTTTTTTTTAAAAAACTGTATGCAGCTGTTTATTGCGAGTTCAGAAGAATGTATGGGTCTGGTCTTGATCTTTCAGTGCTTTCTTTAATGGGTGATTAAAAATTAAAATGTTCATGAGTTTTTGAACTTGAGAACAGCATGAAAGCTTTGAACAAATGAAGGATTATACTGTGGGGAACAGGAAGGAGTTAGTGAATCATTGAATTTTACAGTCCAGTTTTTTGTGGAGATCACGAAAGTTCTGGAGAGCTCTTTGGGGCTCTTGATTCTAACACCTAGTTAGAAGGAAAACTTAGAGAAAAACTGTGCAAAAAACCTCCAAATGGGATCTCCTTGAGCTTCCTTGGGTTCTCAGGGAGGATACCCAGGAGGCAGCATCTCCTACCTCTACAGATGCAAAGAATAAAAACAAACCAT